TGTATTAGTTGTTAATCTGATAATGTTCAAAAATTTTACTTTTTATTTGAATATTTTTACTTTACTATTAAATATAAGTTTAACGTTAAAATTACGATAAAATATAATTTCTGTATGTACAAGGCATACAGAGTCACTATAATTAATGTAAATTTAATGATATAATTTCGTGGAAAGTCAAACAGATGTTGTTGCTGTAATACGAGGAATTAAAAACCAATACATTCGTAATTCAAAAAATTAATATCGTATAGACGTGAAGGATGCAATTAGATAGAAACATGTAATTAGAAATGAAAGAATTATTGTGTTATAATAAAATGATATTAAGCCTATGTTCTTATAAACGAATGATCATGACCTATGAATTAATTTACAAATTGTCAATGAATATAAGTTTGACTTTTTTTTACAGTTAACTTTCCGTAATCTTTTTACGGTTAAATATCTTTTAAAAAATTTAATTTTTGTGAAATTCTAGAGCTAAATTAAACTAGTAGGATAAAATTTACATGAAATTTAATTGACAAGAACAATTTTATTATTCCATTAAATCTTCAAAATCTTATTAATTTAAATTTATATTGTTTATACAAAGTTATATACTGTTTACATAAAATTATAATCAATGCTACAACATTATAACAATGGGCGTTTTTTTTAATTTAAACTTTATGATTTTGCGGACATCGTATATATCCTATTGTATCATATATACATCTTCGAATCAGATAAATTTATGTGCCTTTTTACCATTATTTCTTGAACATCTACCTTTGATTTTTACGATGTATTTTTTCTTCGTTCCCATGCTTTTCCTTTCCGCGTCTTTAGGATGCGTCTTCCTGTTTCCTTTCATGGAACTGGCGAGTCGGGGTATCAGAGAGGAATTCTGGGAGCTTCCTTATAGAATTGCTGCGCCGTCTGGAAGATAGTGGGGACCAGGTTATCGACTGTCTGGCTGAGGGCATGGTGTGACCTTCGCGACGTAAATCTCACTCCGTAGAGTGTTGAGGATATATGTGTCTGCTGAATAAATTGCGCTGAATAAATCATCCTGCGCATTGCGACATTATTAGCATTTTCATAGAGCAGTCAAACGGTTTCCAAGAATACATAAATCGGATTGACAAGAACACATAAGTTAGTTACTTATGTTATTAGAGTTAGTAATAATTTTCGAGCAGCTAGGAGATTGGTGGTTTCTGGATGTATCTCTAACCCTCCATCGGAAAATATGTGAGGGCAGTTTGTTCTGCAATTTAAAAACAAGTGTATGTGCAACTGATTTTAGGTGTCTACGAGTTCGTGCCGCTGGAAAGTGGAGATGGCGAAAGATTGCAGATCAATGCACAGAATTGCATTCACTGTAAGACCTGCGACATTAAAGACCCGAGTCAGAACATCAATTGGGTCGTGCCGGAGGGTGGCGGCGGGCCAGCTTACAACGGCATGTAAATATATAATGTTAATCGATTAACTCATTGATTGATCGGTTACGTAAATATTCGATGGTCTATATTGTTTTATCGTTCAATATTTGAAACGCTTTTCGATGAAATGCATGGACGTATCGTAATTATGTTTTTGATCGCGTGTTGGTTTAACAATATAATTGTAAACATTGAAATACGCTACACGAATAGTGCAATTATTTTCCATTCGAATGAATCAATACAATTATACGGATTAATTTCCTGATAAAAACAAACGATCTAGCTTTTCATCCATGCTCCTGCATAGGTACATACCGATTTGTGGCTTTATACATATCAATATACATATATAACGTGTTAAAAAATGATTCAGTACCATACCGAGTAAAAAAGCTTCAGTGAACATAGGTCGAAAGCTAAAATTTAAACAATTTTGTATGTTAATGCTTGTTTTTTTTTGGTATCATAACTTATTGCTTTCTACATAACTTATTCTTATATATATCATATACGATGTGAAGATTTAAATTGTTTATATCTCAGAAACGATTGAGGTTTCGACCTATGGTCATTAAGGCTTTTTTATTCAGCACATGGTGTGTATTATCTATCATATAAATGTTGAATGGTTTTTTAACATTCTGTATATATATAATTCTTTGATCATTAGAACAATTTACAAGATTTATCCTTGGTTGGGATAATATTTATTGTGTGTATCATTGAAATGGGAAAATAACACTTGGTGACAATCACATTAATTTGATGAAGATATGGAAAATATCTTTATGTTCTCTCTTTTTACGAGAAATGTTTATTATATTTTGTAAATTTATAAAATAAATTTTTCTTGGACACAGGAGAAATATTTCTAAAGTACTTGCGTAATAGTTGTTGTTACTATTTTTGATAGAGTTTGTATAAATGATCAATTTGTATATTATATTATATTTTTATACATAGAAACGAATTGTAATATAAATATGTATCATCCAAGTTATTATCATGGAATGTGATTTTTACCTTTGGTATTATATACCTATGTCCTTTCCCGCAGTAATAATCCACAACTTTTCTCTAGATTCAAGATTCTTTTAGATAATGGCGGCGATATGTAAAAATTCTTTAATTCACCATTACTCCCTATGAAGCAAACGCTCATGATGAGAGCAAATACGTACAATTATATTGTTGTCAAATCTGAGTAACTGTTACAGATCGAAGAATCAATCGATGTTTTAAGGCCTTTGGCTTTTACAAGACTGTGTTTTAGTGACTGGCACTGCACTGAACATTACACTAATACAATGATACAATAGACGGGACGCGATGCTCATACGAGAGCACTAACGTTTGTTTGCTGAGCGAGAGCAATGGAAGGTTTAATTTCCTTAAGTAAAAATTTTTTATTTAGTTTTTCTTGAGGTTTCAATATCTTAAAAGTTCTACGGAATGTATCATCACTCGCGATTAAAATAGAAATATTGTTAAATTTTTATATAACAAAAATATGAAGCTGTGGTATATCCTATGTCATTTTTATAAAATAATATCCTTTGATACCCTTTCAAAATCTCTATTTTTTATATTTAATCAGATTTTTTAAAACTCGAGCTCTATAATTTATTAGGAAAAGATTATGATTCTCTCAATTATATTGAAATTTTAAACATTAAATTCAAAAAGTTGATTTTTATGTTGAAAAATATAAAGTTTAACAGTTAGATTTAAAATAAGTATAATTTTACTACAAAAATATGTACAGAATTTAGAAATATATTCATTTCGAAATTTTTGTATTCAGTACAGATGCACGCTGACTTTTTTTAGATTTATGAATAAAACACATTTTCTCATTTACTTGATATTGTTGATATTGTTCAATCTTGCTTTTCTACTGAAATTCGCGTCCCAAAGCGCGCGTAAATTTTTATGGCTCGCATTATTTCGTATTTGTCCGCAACACCTTTTTACCTGCTGGCATCATGATTTCCTATGAGACCGCGGATGCTGACCAAATGTCTGCAATTTGCAATAACTTAACTGCAAGGATGATTTATAGGAATGATTATAACACACTTTGAAACGAGCAGCGAATATCTGTAAGTTGCTATACCTATCTACGATTTATCCTTTCGAGTGGTTATCTTTTCGAAAAGTAAATTTAATAATATCAAGCGAAAAAACTGCTCAACTTGCAAAATGTGCAGCAAAATGTGCAGCAAAATATGTAGCGTGGAGATATCGTTGCAATTTTTCGTCGAGCATGGAATCGAGTCGATTTTCATCGAGGACATTCATATTACAATTCTTACGATACATGCACGATATTTTCCTCTTATTTTCACTTGAAAGTTGGAGAAACGTAACGGGAATGACATTCATCATTGCGTTCTTTTGAAAGGATTGTTTTGCGCGATACGCTTCCCTTCAAAACGACGACTGTAGTGCATACATTTACATGAGATACGACCGAATCTTTCGTCTGCTCTCGTTCGGAAGTGACACATCCACTGCCGCTGATACGGATAAAATTTATTATGCGATGTAACTTTAGGAGCGGAGGCAACGATTGCCGCTGCCGCTACATGCGCGTTGTAAAATTGTCACGTTTCATCATCGTGGAACCGGAGATATTGGAATTCTCACAGCCGTAAATTCATGCTAACTCAATGATATTTATTTACTTATACTGCGGCAGTTTCATTCAAAGTCGAAGGGATACTGTCTGAAAAGTTCTTTCTTCACACAGAAGTTACATTTACACAGAAAGAAGGAGAAAAATATATAATATGTGTTTGTTTGTGGACAAAGCATGAAGTTTATATTTTGTTTGATTAATCTCGAATATATATTTTTAAAATGGTCTTGAAATATTAACCTGTGTTGGAGTGAAACGATCAAGTGACTGACGTGCGACAGTGTCGCTCGAGCGAGTCCTCCATGATGTATAGCTGACGCAACGCAACAAATTGAACTATTATAGTTGACCATTATATTTCATTATCTGTGAACAATTGTATTTTAATTTTCCACGTGATTGTCCGCGGAACAATTTGATAAATTACGGTTGTGTATTTTTAAAGCAAACGTCTCGTGATCTCGACTGTGATATCGCGAACAATATAATACACGGAGTACGTGTGATTGCTCTTACCTCTAATTGTCTCTTTCTCCGCTACTTTTCTGATCGTCAAAGTAGTCGTTACACATTTACGTGCGCTTTATATAATGGTCTTTGGTAATTGCAGTTGGACAGTAGTCATTCTGCATAAAGCAGCACTTTATCCGCTACTTCTATGAAGTCAATCTAGTGAAAAGTTTTTATGGTGTAGCATAGCGTTTAGCTAGCTGCGCGGTTCTATCCGACATTATTGTCTGGAATACGCGAGCACGTGACTTACGGCTGGTCACAATACGAAGAGGTTTATCTTCTTTTCTACAAGAATCGCGATAGAATTGCGAATCTACGTCGGTTAAACGGGAAAGATAGCTGGTAACTGCGGCTGTAACAATTGTTGGAATCGGTCAATTAATCGAGAAGCACGGATAAAGAAAGAAAAGATGATACCTACGAGCACTGTTGACAATTTGATGGAATTTACTTTACGGCTGATTGGCGTTTGGCCACATTCCTCATACAGATTCTTAATGCGCATTGTTTGGACGACGACGATGGCCATCTGGCAGTTCTTACAGTACTGGCATCTCTTCACTCATATCGGTTCCGATACTCTGCCGAATCTCATGGATTCTTTGAGTCTGTGTTTATCGAACAGCTTGTTGTTTCTAAAAATGAGCCTCCTTTGGCTGAACGGACGGTAAGACTCGTTGGAGATGTTGTCAACTGACGAACAAGGGACGGGTGGGCACGTAAATATTTCTTTATATTTATGGCTATATCCGAATTTTTTCAAATTCAAAGTTGAGTATGTTAATTTGTGAAAAAGTTAGTTAATTTGATACTTGATCGTAAAAAGTTCAATATTGAGTATATTACGTCGCGATAGATTATTGCCCTAGATACGTTTTTTTAAATAGAAATTAAGATCTTTCCAAATGTAATTTTATTTTTTGGAAAATTAATTTATAATTTATAATTTTTTTGGAAATTTTGTTACTAGTTAGGTTATATACTAATTATTTGTATACATATATTGTTTTATATATCTACATGTTATCCAGTATCATTCATGACATGCTTGCGAGAATTGCCGAAGATTGGAATGAGTGCTTCTCTAATCATTCAAAGATGCAGCCGATGATAAGCAAAGCGATTTTGTCTCATCGAATTTCAAAATACAGCATTGGTACATACACTGTCGTGTTACTTTTATTTGGGGCAGGTAACATGATCGTTCAAAAGACTATGGGCTCTGAGCAACTTGTCGAAGAGAAGCAGCTTATTGTCAAAATGAAACTGCCGTCTGAGTTTGATGCGTCGCCGATTTATGAAATTGTTGTGGTTACGCAATTTTTTGTGCAATTCACATTGGCACTTCTAGCGGGAATGTTGAATGCTCTTATTGTAACGTTAGTAAGTTGGTTTCGTACCAAAGAATGTTGCGTTTTTTCTTGACAAAGCCCAATTTTAATCACTATTTTATTCCTACAGCACGAAATATTGCAGCAATATTACTTTAAAGGATTGCAATATTTCATAAAATATTACTGCAATATTGCACTAAAATATTCCTTTGTCCGCTAAAATAGAACCTTGCTGCAATAGTCTGTAATATTACCACAATGTTTAGAGAAATATTGCAAATATATTGTTGCAACATTATGCAATATTTTATCCAGTTTTATTGCTAAAATATTATTTATCAGTATCACATTCCAAAATACACACGATAAAATTATGAGCAAAACATCTTTTTTGAGGCCCAGAAGGCACACTTCGAAAGAGCTTGGGAATCTCCAGGAGATTTATCAACTATATACGCTTTCTCTGATAGAACTTCTGGGTGTTTTCTTCTTATAAGAATCGTGTCCATCTCGTGGCGGGATCGCGTACTTACTTATATGGGCAGTAATATATATATTTTAATATTTCTTGCAAAATATTAAAATTACAACATTGCGCACTATTAAAATATTACCACGATGCTGCAATATTTTGTGCTGTAGAGATATTTATTATTTTATACCTACATATATAATTTTTTTAAACGTTAATATAATGTTATATTAGCATTATCAATACACGCGATACTATTAGGGTAGTCAAATGAAACAAAGCGGATGAAAAATTTAGACATTGAAATCAACTATAACATATTAATAATCATCGTAATTGGCAAGGCACTTCTTCTATTGTAAGATGACAGATGTTCTGTTCATAAAAATTCCTTAGACTGGGATCGAATTCACTCGCAAATATAGCCTCCTGTACTACTACGTCTGGTAATTTCCTGCCTTTCAGATTCTTCTTTAGTACCCTGATTCCGTAACTCTTAACTATAGTTCGATATCATTATGTTATCATTGGCTTTTTTATCATGTATAATATCTGCGCAACGACAATATAATAATATTGACACTGTCGTTAAAAGTTACAGAATCGAGATACAGGTCTCCAAAGATGTGGAAATTGCATAACAATTTCAATGGGAAATGCTGAAGCACTCGGCTTACAACCCAGACTTGTCGCCATGCGATTTTCACATTTTTGGGGACATGAAGGAAAATCTGAAAGGCAAGAAATTTCCGTCAAACGCAGCAGTGTAGATGGTTGTTTGCGAGTGGGTTCGATTCGAGTCCAAAGAACTTTATAAATAGGGCATCCATCGTCTGGTTTCACAATGGAAGAAGTGCCTCGTCAATCATGGTGATTATTAACCCGGGAGTAGGCACATCTCGAAACTAATGTTAATAGGCGCGTCCTGGTCATTTTACCCGAAATATATTTTCGCACATATATGTATTATAACTAGAATATATATATGATTATAATTACTATAAGTAATAATTAATAAGAAAATGAGATTACAAACACTAGTTACACTAAATGAGTTTACGTACTATTGCGTGTGTTCCGTCTCGGCGCGGGTGTTGCATTATTCTTAATTTTTGCTGCCGAGCTTTTTCATGATTATTTCCTTTTTTTTATTTACCTGCATTTTCGAACTAGTAGTACGGCCAGATCGCAGCCGGGCTGGCTACGAAAGCTAATAAAAGAAGAAAAAGAAGATTAACGTAAGTGCGCGCGCTACGGTCTTTTAGACCGATCGTTACAAACATATCAAATTTTATGTAGATATAAGCGTGTTTACGTCATCTATTTTCGCATACTATATGAAAAAACTTTAACAAACATTTACATAAAGGTAAAAATATAACAGTGCTAATAAATAGAAAACGGAAGAGTACGGCAAAATGACCGTAGCGCGACTACTCCCGGGTGAATACGTGTTAGCTGATTTCAGTGCCCGAATTTTTCGTTCGCTATATTTTATTTGATTGTCTTAATATTTTAATAAATCTTTATATTTTACAACGAAAATTAGTTTTATATCATCAGAGGAATTTGAGTGCTAATATTTGAGTTAACAGATCCTTAATGTGCGCACCCTAGAGGTTCACAGGTTATAGCCTTTGGGACAATTCTAAATCATCACTTTTAGATACTTCACGTTGCTGGTCAGATTGACATAGTATGTCACGAATTGCTGGAAATTCCTGTAACCAAGAACGAATACGATTCGCGTATAATCTTATTGAGATCTATCGTGAGTAGACATCAAAGGATTATTGCCTTCGCAGACAGTATCGAGGATGTGTTCTGTTATATGGCGTTGATGCAATTTCTCTTAAACACATTCGTTATTTGCTTCCTCGGATTCGTAATTGTAACTGTGAGTAACCTGACAAGCTCGTTTCAAACAGAATTTTGCGATTTGTTCGAAGGATCTCGTCTCTGAATCGTAGTCGTTTGGCACTCATGATGGAAATATTCTGATGGTAAAGATTATACCTTATTACGCTGTCGTGAATTTAGAAGCTTTTATACTTTGCTTCAGTGGCGAATATCTCACTTCCAAGGTGAGAAAAAGAGAAGAGAAAGATCAGTTTCATATCGTAAGGGAAAGCTTAATGCATAATGAAAAGTACAGGCAATAGGAATAGGAACATAGATTTTATCCTACCAAATCCTATATTACGCAGTGTAGGTATAACACTGTTTCTGGTAGGTTGAAATCTGTTATACTCTTTCTATTGCCTGTGCTTTTATATATATTAGGTTTAACTGTACCCAATATGGCCTAGTACTTAATATAGTCTTGCTGCTCATATTTACTTGAATATTTAAATCTTTACTGTACCTGTAAAAATTAAAATGTGTCTCATATTTTCAATTAATGTTCAGTAAGGGTTTCCTATTTTATTAAATCTGATTACCTGTTTTCAAATTAGATTCAGCAACGCTTAAATAGGCCATATCGGGTTTGGTCATTTTATATTTCATAATAGATATGTATAATAGGATTTCATAATAGATATGATGTGAGAAATAAATAGCTGATTTATGCGAAGAAATAAACATTAAGCTGTCGCATTTACAGAATTGTCGAACGCTCTTACGGAAATGGACTATTAGTGAAATTATTATATTTGATTATTCAGTCATAGTTTTTTCGTAAACTATTGAGAAGAGCTACTATTAGATTATTGGGAAAACTATTAGATAATTATTGAAAAAAATAATTAATTCATTGTTACTGTTACACACACACACACACACGCAGAGGGAGGTCCACTTAAATCGAACATCTTGAATATTTCGCTTATTTTTGGTAATATAAAAAAATGTTTCAAATGAAAGTGGAACGGCTTCGAAGAGGACGTATTTTTTTCTTCTATTTTTTTTAATGGAATTATTTAATCTTTTTTAGATAATATGATTTCTCTAATTATTCCGTATGTAAAAGTATTCAGATGGAGATATAAAAAAACCAATAGTTTACGAGATATTTTATACTTTATTGTGACACATATTGACATAAAATGTTAAATAACTCGTAAACTATTAATTTTTTGAATAATCGTATCTTAATACTTTTATTAACAGAATAATGAAATGAATCATTTGATGGAAAGAAAACACATAGTTGCTTATTTTAAAAATTATTCATTTTGCATACATATTTTTTTAAGCAACTATGTATTTTCTTTTCACCAATTGATTCATCTCATTATTCTGTTCATAAAATATTAAGGTACGATTGTCGAAGTTATATAATATAATTCCATTTAAAAAAGTGGAGGTGACCTTTATATCTTTTTGGCGCCTCCATCTAGAAAAAAAAACAATGCGATCAAAATATGTCCCCCTCGAAACCATTCCACTTTCATTTGAAATATTTATATATATATATATATAAAATAAATATTAGTGTTTAGCATTATATTACAGAATATACACGACAAAATTATGAAAAAAAATGTTTCCTTCTGAAACCGGGATTTAATTTCACGATGCTCTCCAGCTGTCACCTATCCAAAGCTGTACTTCATCTAGTTGTTTGACCTCTGCGATCATATGGGAATTGTTTCTTTGACGACCCACGAATCCTGAATGTTTTTAGATGTATAACTGTGACATATCTGGTCAATAGATATTGTCAAAAAGCTCATGTATAGTTAAAATATACGTGACTATTTAGTTTCATAAACAAATCTAAAAAATTTTAGTTTAATTTCTCTAACGAATAGTTCGACTACAAGAATGATTATTGCAAATACTTCGATTACTGATATAGCATTATCTTGATTATGGGCTTAATGAATTATAATTCGACGCAGTTTATTTAAATAGTCATTATTATGGATAGTTCTAAATATTGAAAACCAGTAATATAACAATTTATATACATAATTATTAAGATAGTGCGCTGTAGTGATCATTACGGATAATCTGATTAGAAAATTAATAATTACTTAGTCAAAAACTATTGGGAAATAATTGTTTTAAATAATTTGATTAAGAAATCAATAATCACTCTGTCAAAAGCTATTGGAAAATGATTATTGCACATAATAATCCGACTAATGGAATCAATAATCACTCCGTCAAAAGCTATTGGGAAATGATTATTGTAAATAATCCGACTAGTGGAATCAGTAATCATTCCGTTAAAAACTATTGAGGAGTGATCATTGCGAACAATCCGATTATTGGATAATAAATACTCACTATTAAAGAGCGAATAATCATTATTAAAATCCAATAGTGATTATTGGTTTTCCAATAATTCATTTCCGTAAGGGCGAATATACTTTATAAATTTTTTAATACTTTATTTTTCACTTTGTCTTAGAGCAAGTCTATAAATCGGGCGGCATACAATTCATTTTGGTACAAGTTAAAGCCTAAGGAAAGCAAAATCTTGTTGTTATTGATAATGAGATCGCAGAAGGAATTGACAATGACAGCCGGAAAATTCGTAGATTTATCTTTGGAGGGTTTTACAAGTGTAAGAATTTTGAGATTTCCGTTTTCCTTAACGATAGCAGTAATACGATTTAAATATAATACTTAATTCTTAGAACACACCTTCCGAAATATTCTGAAAACACGCTATGGGTCTGAAAGACCCATTGTAACTTTGATAGGTTATAACTTTGGTTTAGATTAATATTTTTAGACTCTCTTTTTTTATTTTGAAGTTTTGAGATTTAGAAATCTACTTACATAAGTTGTGATGCCAACAATTTTTATATTGTTAAGTTATAAAATAAAATTCTTCTTTTCTTCATATATGGAGCAAGCGAATTGGGTCTGGGAGACACACCTATATGTGTGTTCTAGGATTAGGTACTACTAGTATCACTATAACTTAATTAATAACTTTTATTATGAGTAAGAATTTTGTAAAGAATCGAATTCTTATTACAATATTTATTATATATTATATTTATGCATTTTTATTATTATTATGTATTTTATTATATTTATATATATTTATTTTTATGCTATCTTTCTGCGTGTGATTATAAAATAAAATTTAATTGTTAATTTATAATAAAATTGATATTATATCTTTTTTTCGCAGATTCTGAAGGCATCTGCATCTTATATGTCAGTGCTACATGCTATGTATTGAAACATAGAACTGTAAAAAATCTTGTACAAATATAAATCATGTAAAAATTAAATCATTGCTGGGCAATAAACGTCTAGAATTAAAATTACCTTAATTAATGTAAAAACAGTTACATAAACAAATATTTATATATATATATTGCAAAAGTTCTTTTTTATGCACTCTATTCATTTTTCATTACTTATTTTGCTTTCACAATAGAGGTAAGTCCATCAAATGAAGGAAAATTAGAATAATAGTGGAAAGTCAATTCATAACAAAATTTTTGATAATATAAAATATATTTCAAGATATATCACATCAATTAACACTTTTTTTCCGAATTAATATAAACTTATTGATTAATATCTATTATAAAATAATAAAATGTTATTAAAAAACACAGCACACACAACACTAGAGATATAAAGTAACTTGAAATTTTCACTTTGGAACACTGAACATAAAATACTGCGTCATGTTTCACGCATATATCAATTGTGTTGAAGATATTTAATTTTCACTCTTGTGAAGTTCTCCATTTTATTTTCGATTGTAACTCTGTAGCGCACAAAGATGAAACGCGCTTGTTGCACTTTTAAATCAATTAATTAAGAATATTGCGATCTCATACCTGGAGACATTAGATGTAGAGAATCACAATTATATCTACCTATACGATATATTTTTTTCTTTCAGATAATTGTATTTTATTATACGAATTTTTCAACATGATAATGTAATCTTCAGATTTTGCAGATTGTTTTCATAGCAACTTATCTGTTTAAATATTTTATTTTTGTGAACGCTGTGTGATCTTATTGCTAATCTTTTACTATTCTTTCCTCTTTTTATTTTTGCAGAGCAAGTCAGCTTACGAGGCTCCTTGATATGATGCAAAATCCAGCTAAAGTCGAATTTTATTGATTTTAATATTGATTTCCAATTGATAATCGGAAAATTTTATGATATGTCTTTGGAAGTTTTTGTAAGTGTAAGATTAAAAAATACTTTTGAATGCCAAATGTTCTTTCTAATATAAAACAGTATTGCGTTTCTCAGATTTTGAAATCTTTTTACATATCGGTGTTATTTGCAATGTTTTGATCGATAAAAAGATATTAAACCTACGTACACATATTTGCATAATATTATATATATATATATATATATATATATATATATAT